CTCTCTCTCTCTCTCTCTTGATCTCTCTCTCTTGATCTCTTGATCTCTCTCTCTCTTGATCTCTGATCTCACTTTTTTGGATCGCAAACAGCTCGAAAATGCTGACATTTAAATCTCTTGATCTCTTTCATCTCTCTCAAACTCTCTCTCTCTCTAAATCTCTCTCTCTAACTCTAACTCTCTCTCCCACAATTCTAACTCTCTCTCTCTCTTACTCTCTCTCTCTCTCTCTCTCTCTCTCTCTCTCTCTCTCTCCTTAAAAGCATTACAGTACATGTAACATCATGTAAGTTCATCTCTCTCTCTCTCTCTGTGCGCTTGGATGTGTGTGTGTGTGGCGGTGGCGGCGACAGGGAGACGCGACCCGTCTCCGTTCAGGGTGGATCCAAGAAGAGCGAGAGCGAGTGAGAGCGAGTGAGAGCGAGAGTGTGTGTGTGTGTGTGTGTGTGTGTGTGTGTGTGCGCACGTGTGTTGACCCAGTGGGCGTGGGGCAAGATTCTGATTCTATTGGCGCTCGACCTCTCTCTCTCTCTCTCTCTCTAGTCATACGTGAAAGCGATCATGTGTCAGCGACTTTTGTTGGGGTGGGCAGCCCTTGTCCTGGCGGTTGCTGGCGCACTGCCGGCGTGCAACATGACGGTTGATCCCGCAAACACGGTTGGTCCTCCTGTGCTTTTGGTCCGTTCCTTTGGCTGCGATGCCGCTTGCGACTCGCTTCCATCCCCCCTTTTCGTCATGGACTGCCTCCTCACAGACACTGAACGATGGAAACCCCCCTTAGACGCGGACTGGCAGTGACTACGACTGGATTGAGCTGCCCATCAACTCGACAGTGGATGATTGCGTAGCCCTCTGCTGCCAAGATGAAGAATGCCAGGCCTTTACTTACAACACAGCCCCCCATGTGTGCACCAGCGCACCCGCCGGTACGGGCTTCCCACACCGCCATCTGGAAAGAAAAACATCAACATAACCCCGCTATTTGATCGACTCACCAAACCAGTCCGATCGACCCTTGAACGCTCTGCCCATCCCTCACGCCCTAGGCTCACAGCATTGCTGTGGTTTGAAAAGCGCCGTCCCGGATGCACACCCATCCTCCTACAATGGCATTGTCATCACCGGCCACAAACCCATTCGCCCTGCCGGTAGGCACGCCCAAACGCACGACCTTGCCCCGCCCCAAAGAGAAACGCAACAGCATGGAGAGGCGCGTCGTGAAAATGTCGGCTCGGGTGCTTTTATCAGATGCTCATTCATTCTCAACCTGCCCTGGTCCCACCTTGCTTCCAGGCATTCCTCGTCCTTCTGTCCGCCAGCTCGAGTACATGGACATGGGATTGACTCAATTTATGCACTTCTCCGTCACTACGTTTGGTGCGCTGGACCCCCACTCGCCATCACCTCTTGCCCATCAGTGTGGCTCAGACAGCCCCTTCCCCCCTCATCTCCCTCGCCCCGACTCCTCCCTTGCCCAAATGCCATGCCTCGGTGCATTGACGTTGTAACCCGCGCCCGAACGTACCCAGGCAACATTGAGCACGACTGCGTCGATGGCTCCTGCCTGCCCGCCTCCATCTTCAATCCGACGGCCATGGGCCCGGACGAAAACGGCTTAACCGCGACAGACCAGTGGGTCCAAACGGCTGTTGACATGGGAGCTGGAGAAATTTGTCTTACAGCGCACCACGAAGGTGCGTCCCCTGCGCCCCTCGCACTTGAAAGCAAAGTGCTCCGGTATGGCCCTGCCGCACTATCCCACCCTCACTCTGTTGCTCGTGGTGTGCATGTGTGTTCAAGGTGGCTTTTGCCTGTGGCCATCCAATTACTCCAACTATACGGTGATGCAAAGCCCATATCCACATGACATTGTGGCAGACTTTGTGGCCAGCTGTCACAAGTACAACATTCGGCCCTGTTTCTACATTGGACCAAATGCCAACGGCTACTTTACGCAGGTGCCCAACCCAGCCCGCAGCGCTGGCCTGGTGAAGAAGAGGCTGTGCAATAACATCACTCGGTCATTGCGTCTCCACCGTGCATTGTGGTTCTGTGGTTTCGCACCTAGGTACTCAATTACACGGCCGAACGCTTCTATCACGCCCAAATGGGCATGATCACAGAAGTCTTGACACGGTATGGTTTTATCTCGCGCCTCTGGTGGGACCACTTCAACCAAGGTTGCGGTGGCCTGTCCGAATGCCCAGCCTGCCAGAACACCAGCAGCCCCTACTGCTTTCCCCAAGCCTGGCATGCTTTTGAGCAATTGGTGCGCAACGTGAGCAACGAAACGCTATTGGGCACTGGACCTGACGTTCGCCACTCTGGAGGCGGCGAGACTGGTTCGTGTCGCCTCGTCGATGTGCAATCTCTGGCGCGCTGAGCCGTCAAGACAGCAGGTGCCATCGCGAGGCTAGATCAGGCGTCACCCGAATCGCATCACATTGTCTGGCCCCCTAGGTGTCGGGGATTACCCCGTCTGGAATGCCATCAACTCAACCTACACTGGAAGCTTCGGTCCACTGGGATACTATTTTCAGTAAGCCTGATATGAGCGGTGTTGCTGCTTGTTCATCGATAGCCACAAGCACCAACGCAGCACAGCACATGACTTCTGATTGGTGTGGTGCATCACTTGATAGACCACGTGAGGCCGATGCCACGATTCAAAATCCGGGAGATGCCTGGTTTTGGAAAGCCAACCACTCTTTTTGGAATGCCTCGCAGGTTGGCTGGGCTGCCGCTTGGGCCTCAGGACGAGCAAGCAGTTCCATCCTAATAATATGCCCTTCGCGTGCACTTTATGCTTAGCTTTGGAATCACTACATGCTCACCGTTGGCCGAGGGGAAAACTTTATTCTGAACATGCCTCCCGACACGACCGGTGAGCCCACAAACCGCCTCAAAAGAGAAAGGCAAACCTGGGTTGAGACTGCTGACCACGGCTGATGGGGCTGTCTTGTGGCAGGGCGCATCCCGGCCGAATACGTGGCTGCCACTACAACTTTTGGCAATGCACTCCGTGAATCCTTTGCTCGACCGACGGCAGTGGTGTGTGGTGCTGCCCTGGGGAAAGGACTGGCTGTCACTTTGAACAGGATCGGGCTGAGGCGGGGCAGGATGCATAGCGTACGGCTGTGGAGATGTGGGCTGAGTGGTTCACGTCTGGGGAGGCGTGTAGGTGTACGACGTGACTACGGTTTGCTCCGAGCCGATCGAGCTGGACTTTCCTGAGGACATGGGGACATTCACTTGCCTGCTCACCCGCGAGGATTTGACACAGGGCCAGGTTAGTACGTGCGGTGGGACATGCTTGATTTGAGGACGGCAGCTCGCGAAGCTGCGCGTGTAGACTGCCGACGCAGGTTTCCGTGTCGCTGTCTCCCGCTTACGTGACTTGCTGGATGTGCAGATGGTGAAAGCTTACACCATTGAAATAAAGGATGATGCAGGAGTGTGGCATGAGCTCCCGGTGAGTCAAGGCTCGTTTTGCGATCCTTGAACCTTGGCACTTTGGTATCGCATCTGATTTTGCTGCTGGACCGATTCCTGGCCGAACCTGCCTGTGGCACCAGATCACCAACGGAGGCACAGTGGGCAATCGCGTGATCGACTTGTCGGCGGCAAATGTCACATACATGGGCACGGGTGTACGCTTTCAGTGCCTAGATAGCGTGCAACCGACGATTCACATTCGGCAGTTTGGGGCCTACCTTTGTCGCCGCCCAGAGTAAGGGAACGAGCAAGGCCACGACGAGGGCGGAAGACCGGGCAACCAAGGTGATCGACAAGGCCTAGAACCCAGCCGTCTTTGGCACCGCTCACTCTGGATGGTGTTCTTCCTGCTTGGACTCGTGTTGCATGGGTGCAGTTTCCCTGTTTGTGGAGCACACTGCGAAAGAATTCATGGACATTGAGCCTGCACCAGAAGCTGCCTTCGAATGAAGGATGCCCTACTACAAATAGACCAGGGAAACGAACCGGCGGGGAAAGACGTTATTTTGCGGCGCACCGAAGAAGAAGGAGGAGGAGCGAAAGGAGCGGAAAGAGCGTATGGAGCAAAGGAGGCAGGGGAGCAGGGGAGCAGGGGAGCGGGGGAGCAGGGGAGTGGGGGGTCGCGTAGAGAGCGCCGCCCTTTGCTATGGGAGAACACACACACACACACACACACACACACACACACACACACACACTTCTGAGTAAACCGGTTAAAGTTGTCGTGATGCTCTTCCTCTCAAAATCCGTTGACATGTGTGAGCAAAAGCAAAGGGAGAGAGAGAGACTGAGAGATTTTGGCAGAGATGGCGTTGAATCGCGAGCTGGAATCATCGTAAACAGCAGGCACTTCAAGGGAGAAGAAGAGATGAGCTCGAATCAAGTCTCAAAAGCAGAGATGGAGTCGCCTTTTGATTAAACTCGACGACGAGAGATCATGGCGGAGACAACGGGAGCGACGGCGGCGGCGGCAACGGCGGCGGCGACGACGATGGCGGGCGAAAAGGATGGAGCTGCTGGTGTTGCAAAGAACATGACGACTGGGCATGCTGCGCCTGCAACGATCCGACAAAAGCAGGAGGATGATCATGACGATGGCGAGCGAGACGAGCAGGATGGGGATGGTCGCGAGCCGCGCACGGCGGCAGAGTCATCGGCTGGGGTACCGGCTGCGGCGACATCAGTTGCTGGTGGATCTATGCCCGAGGGCAGCGTTCATCGCACCCCGCTTTCGGGCAAGCGCAGCATGAGCTCCTCGGAGATTCGCGATCCCACGCAGAACCCTCGCCTGAAGACCCGTTTGTGTACCCAGTTTATGACCACCGGTGCGTCGTCAGGCTCGTCAACGGGCTCATGTCGCTTTGCCGACGAGTGGCTGCACGTTTGCCTGCCTTTGTTTGAAAGACTCTGTTGGCTGCTGCGAGGGGGCGAAGTACTTACTTGATGTCGCCCGGTTCGGTGCGCTCAATTGCAGGGAGTTGCCGCTATGGTGACAAGTGTATCTTTGCGCATGGTCCTCACGAGCTACGCGGTGCCAACGGTAAGGTAGCTCGACAGTTTTCTCTCAACTCTTTCCTTGCCCTGCTCGTCAAGCTCTCTACTTTTCTTTTTTCTTGGCCGCGGCGCACCGGACATCTCAACCCCCCGCCCCGCGTTCTGAACTCTGTGCAGCCACCATGTACATGACCATGATGCAAACGGGAGCTGTAAACCCAATGGCCATGGCAGCCATGATGAATAACCGTACGATGATCGTTTCTTTTCTTTTTTTTTTCCTCTTGTTCAGGGATCTACACGGACCACCGGGGCTCGCTGGTGCGAGCTTGTGCATTCACCTGTTTACATGTGTATTTGGGGTGGGGTGGGGGTGGATGTTGTAGCCAATGGTGAGCCGGCGGCCAAGCGCAAGCCCATTCTAAACATGGCTCGCGCCAAGACGCGTCTCTGCAAGTTTGCCAAGGACAA